TCGACAGGGGCCCTCCACGATTCTAACCTTACATGAAGGCTTGTAGTTATTGCCGGGGGCTATCTGACCTGCCGGGTGCTCCCCGATTGCTTGAAGTCCGTTAACATTCGTCTCCGGTTCTTTCCACTTGCCCGGTGTGCCCGTGCTCTCGCTGGGGCATCTAAGTTAACGTACCGAAGCACTCGATGCCCAAGGGCCCTGGACATTGTTCTAGAGCACTTTTCAGTTGACCTCACCCGCGGAGGACCATAAACTCTTGTCTGGGTCTTTTATGTTAAACTGCCCGGGCCCTCTTTATCGCACAGGGGCCAGCTACCATGGTCTAAGACATTTCATATTTGCTCGGAAGACCCTGTGCTGTTGTCGGAGGCCCTAACATCCATCTACCAATGAGCTCTCAACTGATCAGAGGCATTCATCCATGTACATTGGTTTTGGGTTCTTTCCGTTTGCTCCGAAGGCCCTGCGCTCTGGTCGGGAGCCTTATATGTTAACCTACCGTTGCACTCCTATCGTTCAGAGGCCAACAAATTGGTCGTGGGTTCTTCTTGTTTGTTCGGAGGGGCCCCTACACTGTTGGCTGAAGCTTCTCGGTTTGACCTGGTGGTAGCCTCGACCGCTCAGCTGCGTCCGCACTGCTCTTCATTGATTGATCATTGATCTTTGGTTCTCCCCATTTTATTCGAGCGGTTCCGCTATCGATGAGAATCTAAATATTCATCAGCTTGGGCCTCTTGATCGCTACGGGCTCTCCACATTGTCTTGGGCTGCTTTCATAAACGTCAGAAGTACCTTTCTCTGTTGCCAAAAGCCCTCACCAATGCCTGGGGGCGTTAGCACTTCTGTTCTGCATGGTGTTTCGCATACTCGTTGTATGCGGTCCTGGCTAATTTATTCATTTACACAGATTGGAGATCTACACGATGACCACTTTCCTTGTCGCCATTTCAGTGGTAGCATATTCTATCCTCCTTCATATAGCCAAAACCAAAAAACTGTGCATATAGACATAAGCCACCAGCTGACCACACCGACTAGCCGACCAGTCACCGCAAACCGGCTGTCTGTAACTAACCTTGAAAGTACAGTGCTTCAGTTAGACTAGTATTTGGAATCCAACTCATTCGCACTCGGCCACATTCTCCGAAATATCTTATTTCAAAACAGCAGAACCCACCATGATCTGGAGCAAACTGAATGCACTTGAGGCACTTACACCATGGGATGCCTTGTTTTCTTTGGCTGCGCAAGTGAAGATGGTTTTCTACTACAAATAAAAGCATTATAAGAATCTAAAAAACTTCATGGTCAGAAGCCGAGGATTTTGGGGGAGAGAGTGGGCCCCAAACCCCACATGGGCTACAATGCTGCGTGCCTCGTCCCCTCTCCGTTCGTGTGAAATTCTGGGATCCGCCCACTGCTGTTTGCGCACTTCACCGTAGAAGCGTAGACATCGCAGTTGCGGTTAGGCACATATAGACTGTGCCGCGGTCGTGCCGAGCCATGGTCTAAACGCTGAAGTCGACACAGGCTCAGACGGGCCGCATTTGTTCAAAGTCGACGGACACTCACCGGCAGACTTACAAAACTCGATGGGTGCTCACCGGCCAGACTTACTCCGTGATTTACTTACTTACAGACTTTCTTACCCAGTCGATTGCTTCCTTTTCAAATAGTCGGCAACCCCCTTGCAAACACCCTGCCGGAGCTGTCCACCCAAGATATCCAGAGACAGATATCCTCAGACTCCAGACAGACTTCAGACTGCCGGAGCTATCCGTCCAAGATATCCAGAGGCAGATATCCTCAGACTCCAGACAGACACCAGGCTGCTGGAGGCTATCCGTCCAAGACATCCAGGGGACAGCTGTCCTCAGACTCCAGGCAGACATTCGGCATCCAGAAACGCATCTACAGGTCATTTGCGGAGCACTCACGCCAGAAACTAGTGGCATCCAGCCTGCAACACTCTCACCGACACTCGTGATACTCACTCCCAGAACTCCACCACGGGATCTGTGGCGCCTTCGGCCACGTCGGTGGCGTTGGTGTCGTTGACGCCTCTGCTGAAGGTGGAGCAGAGCGGTGTGTTCCACGCGTTGTGGCACGTCGCCCAGGGCAGGGGCGACTGGAACGAGTAGAACATGTAGAGCAGGCCCCAGGCCAGGATCACGATGTAGTAGATGTTGAGGAGGAACGAGATGACCGTCGTGCCGTAGCCGATACCTGCCGGAACGGCTCAGGACCTCAGAGGGAGTGGGACACAGGTGACGTGGGCGGCCCTCAGAGACAGCGGGACACAGGTGACGTGGGCGAGCCCTCAGAGGGAGGGGGACACAAGTAGCTTGCGTGGGCCACCAGAGAGACCGGAGAGCTAAATGACTTTTCTGCTGCGTGGCTTATGTCGTCGCGGAGCAATTGTAAAAAAAACGCATAAGTTTGTGAAGATGTTTTCGTGGAATTGCGGTTTTCACACTTAAGCATGCCGAGGCTTGAAACGCTCCGCAAAAAAGGCAGTGTAAAGTGGGCCACACATTGCCAGCGCACGAGGCGTGTGGCGGCTCCACTCACCTGTGAACACTGGGCAGAGCTTCCAGACCGAGATACCGCCCTCGCCCATGAACTGGCCGATGCCCACCTCCAGGAAGAACATGGGCACGCCGCCAGTTACCAGGCAGGTCAGGTAGGGAATGAGGAAGGCACCTGCAACAGGGAGCCAGCCGGTCAACAGCAGGTTAGCCTGAGGTCAGCCTGAGGTCAGTCTGAGGTCAGTCTGAGGTCAGCCTGAAGTCAGCCTGAGGTCAACCGCCGGTCAGCCGCCGGTCAGCCGTCGGCGAACCGCCGGTCAGCCTGAGGTCAGCCTGAGGTCAGCCGCAGGTCAGCCACTGGCGGGAACACGCGGACGCAGAGTGGGACAGGCAGATGCGTGAGGGACCGTGGGAGCCGGCTGAAAATGGCCGGTGGACGGCATCGTTTGCGCTGCTCCGAAACCAAACCGACTATTCCGGATACATGGAGACAATCGTTCTACGGCAAAGGAGGCGGTTGCCGCGTACCAGTATCAGTTACCTCGCATAGAGAAGTTGACGTGAAAGATGTTGCAGGCCATAATCTCAAATACACTGACTTGAAATATGCTAGATCCCGCTAGATCCCGTTAGATGAAACGCCCAGACAGTGCCTCACTGCGACCACCTACCGGGCTTCTGAGCCAACCAGTCTAATTTTGGGAACTCTTGGGTATGAGATCAATTTTCGCTAAATCTTCAGACGGCTCTGGCCGGCGTACTCGGCGTCGGTGGTTTCCTAGACGACTTGGCTGTGTCGGGGGTAGACGTTGACTCACAACACAGCGCTGAGGACCGTCCCAAGCCCACAACACATTGCTGAGGGCTGTCTCAAGCCCACAACACAACGCTGAAGCCCACAACACAGCGCCGAGGGCTGTCCCAAGCCGCCCGCAGGCTCCTGACCTTCGCATTAATCTGGATAAATGCTAGTGTGATTTGGATGAAGTGACTTATATGGATTACAAGGTCAGCTCCAGGGGAGCGAAGACCACGAAGGACAACGCGCCGGCCATTCTGAGGCCTTCTAAGCCAAACGCGAGTAAGCTCCGGTCTTAGCTGGGCTTGATAACTACTATGGGTTCCTCAAGCACCTGTCATCGATCCTGGCGTCGCTGTGTGTGTCGTTGTGCCGGAATGAGCACTGGCCTAACCGTGGTGCTGAGCGATCCGCGCTCGAGAGAGGCAGCGCTCGCTGTTAAATCCTTCTGATTTGGTACACCGTGACTATGACTTTAGGGTGTGGTTGTCAGCGGCTGTCCATTGCCGAGAGGTGCGACATCAGTCAAATAACGTCAGACGGTGAGATGCCGGTGGCTTTCTTTACTCGCACACTTGACGACACAGAGCGACGTTACTCACAAACAGGCCGAGAGGTGTTGGCAGTGGGACCCGATGTAAAAATGTGCTTCTACTTGGCTGGTAGGCCATTTCGGGTGCAGACCGGTCATAAGCCTATTCTGGGGTTTGTTGGTGAGCAACAGCCGCTTCCGCTGAGGGGGTCGCTGAGAGCGGTGCGCTGGGCCATGCTGCGTCGCTGAGAACGGTACACTGGGCCTTGCTGAGTCGCTGGGAGCGGTGTGCTGGGCCCTGCTGCGTCGCTGAGAGCGGTGCGCTACTCCCCATCCCCGCCGGACCCTGCTGCTTTTCGCCCACGACTGCCACCTTGAATACCATGTCGGGAAACTACAAGGCCATTGCGACACGTTGAGCTGACTGCCGCCAGCTGAGGGATCTGCTGACGTCAGCAGTCCTGTCCCACCTGAGGGGCCTGCTGACGTCAGCAGTCCCGTCCCGCCTTAGGGGCCTGCTGAGAGGCCTGCTGACGTCAGCGGTCCTGTCCCACCTGAGGGGCCCGCTGACGTCAGCGATCCTGTCCCACCTGAGGGGCCTGCTGACGTCAGCAGTCCTGTCCCATTTGAGGGGCCTGCTGACGTCAGCAGTCCTGTCCCTGCTGAGGAACCTGCTGAGAGGCCTGCTGACGTCAGCGGTTCTGTCCCACCTGAGGGGCCTGCTGACGTCAGCAGTCCTGTCCCGCCTTAGGGCCTGCTGAGAGGCCTTCTGACGTCAGCGATCCTGTTCCACCTGAGCGGCCTGCTGACGTCAGCAGTCCTGTCCCACCTTAGGGACCTGCTAAGAGGCTTGCTGACGTCAGCGGTCCTGTGCCGCCTGAGGGACTATGACTTAAACCGGAATCGAAAATTGCGGTGCTCGTTCGCATACTGGGGAATCCCGAAGATACGGACAATGTATAACGCTCAGTGGTTTTTCTCTCCGGACCTTGAAATGTTTTGTTGGGTGAACGGCATTTGTCATCTTACCTCTCCCCCAGTTGCTCCCAATGCAAGCGGTTTGGTAGAGAGGTGCGTGCAGACATTCAGACAAAGTTTCAATAAGCGGGAAAGGGGGCCATTGATGCCCTAAGTCTCTCGCGTGTTATTCCATCATGGTACCGCCGTGGCCAGCACCAGGCACGCACTGCCAGCGGAGCCGATGCTCGGACGCCAGTTATGGACTCAGCTCGATGTCCTGCGGCCAGACCTGCGAGAGGCTGTCCGCACTGAGCAGGGCAAACAGAAACGGCACAGGGACCGCGTCTGTCGGTGCAGAGGATATGGCACTCTGCGTATAGATGACCCAGTTTACGTTTCTGCTGTCGGCCAGGTGCAGAGGTCGAGCGGTAGAAAGTGGCCCAAAGGCGAGCCTCTTGGTGAACACAATGTTAAGCTTACGGTGCGTTTGGGTGATGGTCGTGTGTTGGTGTGACATTTCGATCGGGTACGCTCGCGTGTCGGTCTCGAGGACATAAGGCGGGTCATGTGACCCGATGTTATCCCCTACCTGTGTCCGTGCTGGTGGCGCCATTGAGGTTTGGTACCTCGTAAAAAACGAACATTTTGTTTTAGGGCTTTTTTGAGGTACCCCTGGAATTCAGAATTCGTCCATTGCAGAGACGTAGGTAGCTAGGGGAGGCCATGGGGTCCATGGTCCCGACCCTGGGCCAAGAGGCTTACACAGAGTGCTGTTGGCGATTTCGGAACAAATTAGCACGTGGTCAGAGGAAATTTGGCATTCCTCCCTCCTCCTAACAAAAATATTCACCACATATTTACCCCATGAAAGCTTACATTAGCTTCGTCAGAAATGCGCCAGAATGCAGCAGACCATCGCCGGCCTCTCAGTGTTCATGGACTCCTCTCGGCACCACAGCCGCAGGCCGCATCCCAGGCCTGCATCCGCTTTGAGATGGCCAGCTGGCCGCTGCAATGGCGACGTCAGGAGCGTCCCGACGCCGCTCGAAGCTGATGAGTCTCATCAGCAATATCCGCCCCATTTCCGGGGGAGGGAGGGAGGGGGGGGGGGGGAGTAGGCGGCGGGAGTGACACCAGGGCGCGAGCGCCGGGACTGGGGAGCGTAAAGTGCGGAGTGCCTCCCTTCCAGCCTTCCAAAAATCTAACAATCGACCTGCAATCACGAACTATAAATCTAGCAATCGACCTGCAATCACGAACTATAAAATCTAGCAATCGACCTGCAATCACGAAGTTTAAAAAAAACGATAGCCAGTGGCTATCGCACTGCCTTCGCCTTCTTGCCCTCCGTCCAAGTCCGGCGAACGTACATCGGTCCTGCACCAGGCTGCGTACCAGAGTACGGTGAAACAAGACCCGCGGCGTCCGTGGGTCTTGTCCCCTGGTGATGCGTCTGTGGCCGTTTCCCTTCGTGCGCGGCTGTGATGCATCGTTCTAAGCGGCGGCGATGAGGTGGAGAACGCGTGGCGACACTGAGGGTCGCGGCGGCCTCGGCACCAGCTCGGCCCGCCATTTGTGGCACCAGCTCGGCCCGCCATTTGTGGCACCAGCTCGGCCCGCCATTTGTAGCACCAGCTCGGCCCGCCAATTGTGGCACCAGCTCGGCCCGCCACCTGTGGCACCAGCTCGGCCCGCCATTTGTGGCACCAGCTCGGCCCGCCACCTGTGGCACCAGCTCGGCCCGCCACCTGTGGCACCAGCTCGGCCCGCCACCTGTGGCACCAGCTCGGCCCGCCACCTGTGGCACCAGCTCGGCTCGCCAACGCCACGCGAGAGCACGTCTCTTCAAACCGCATCTCTTGTCCTGAACTGCGCGCTACGCGGGTGCAGTGCTTCCCGGCCAGTCAAAGTGAGCTCGCCCACCCTCGACTGCACTTCTACCATGTGTAAACAAACAATACAGCCAATCCAAGGAAGCTCCCCACCCTCGACTGCACTCCTACCATATGTAAACAAGCAGTACAGCCAGTCCAAAGGAGCTCCCCCACCCTCGACTGCACTCCTACCATATGTAAACAAGCAGTAGAGCCAGTCCAAAGGAGCTCCCCAACCCTCTACTGCACTCCTACCATGTGCAGACAAGTAATACAGCCAGTCCAAAGGAGCTCCCCAGCCCTCTACTGCACTCCTACCATGTGTAAACAAACAATACAGCCATCCAAGGAAGCTCCCTAACCTCGACAGCGCTCCTACTACGTTTAAACAAGCAAGACAGCCAATCCAAGCAAGATATCTCACCCTCGACTACACAACTGCCACAGTTAAACGGAGTGTTCCACATTTGCATGGGGTTTTATGGGGTTTTGACCTGACATAGCCATCTTGAACATCATTCGGTTCAGTTCGCAGTCCTGGCCTTCTTAAAACCAAAACCCCTCTAGTTTCTGAGCTACACGCCGGTAAATGTATGCAGCTTATTTAGGGGGGACTATTTATTGGTTTCTCAGGCATCCATGACGCCATAGTGCCATTCAAATCCTGCCATTTCATAAGCCATGCGGCGAGCAAGACCAATAAAAAATGTATATCAAAGCGTTCATATCTGACGTTCGTGAGCACGACTTCTATATATATATATATATATATATATATATATATATATATATATATATATTTCTATTGCATCTATATATTATGTCTATATATTATATCTATATATTATTTCTAGATATCACGGCTGCCAATCGGCTCTCAATCAATGTTGAGCAAGGTGTGATGACGTAATTAAACAACGACTTAATTGGAAATATATTTACTAAACAGAGAAGTGCTGTTGCCTAGAGCAGTCGTTTCCACTTAAATGTATACCAGTGTTTATAAGTGATTTATTTCATAATATTTGATGCTTGCTGCAATATCTTCAAATGTGGAACATTCTCTAAACAAACAGTGTAGCTAATCCAAGGAAGGGCACCCGCCTGCGACTACACCCATACCATAGTAAAACAAAGCATGCTTGCCTCGAATGCGCGACATAAATGGCGTAGGGGGTCGGAGCACTTCGTAAGCAAAAGCTGTTGTTTGTCCTTCGCACCCACCAACCAAATAGGCTTTCCTGTTCAGTCGCTGCCATGAGCCCGGCCGTACGCCAGACAGGCTGCGGGGGGAGGGGGGGGGGGGAGCGGTGTGCCTAACACGGCCGCTCCGGGCCAGGTGGGTCATCGCTGTTGTGGTGTCTCATCTGGCTTTTCCACGCCAGCCGGAGAAACTACTGCGCATGCGCCAGAACTCGGACCCGGCACCGCCACAGCGCGAGCCTAGCGTTGTCTCCAGACTATGAGAACCGCAGGCGATGGCAGGTACATACGTGTCAGTGCGCACACCGCCACAGGGGCGTGTACACATTACACCTCCGGGTCGACATCCGCCCCCCCCCCCTCCTTACCAAACTTCCCCAGGCGCGTACACACATAGTACCTCCGGGAGGACGTCCCGCCCCTCCCCTCTCCTTACCAAACCGCCCCAGGGGCGTACACACATAGTACCTCCGGGAGGACGTCCCGCCACTCCCCTCTCCTTACCAAACCGCCCCAGGGGCGAACACACATGGTACCTCCGGGAGGACGTCCCCCTTCCCCCCCCCTCCAACCTGCTTACCAAAATGATGGCCCGTGTTGAACACGCGTTCGGGAGAGGGCCAATTTGTCCGCCCTCTAAACACTTTTTCAAAACGACTTCTTAACCACGCTGTGCAGCCACGCTAAAGCTGCCAAATGTGTAGGCAATTAAATGATCGATCTTTTGGTAAACAAAATTAGATGTACCTGCATGGCCGCTGACCTACGGCAGGTCAAAGTCAGGCCATGCCTATGCCAGGCGGCGAAGGTAATTCCCAGGGAATCCTTCCATGTGATACAACGGAGTGTTACATGAAGTCATGCAACTTTGACATGACCTGATATGAACACAAGTAGCAGTTCACTTATCAGAGGTAACTAGGCTAAGGCTGAGGGCGTAGAGACATCTGATCACACTTCAGATACCCATCTGAAGTTTGGACATGTCTGACCTTATGTGGCTCGAGGGTTACGACATAATGGCCCCCTAATTTAAGACAAGTGAATTTACATAGAGCCCGATCTTCCCTGTGAATCTATTGCCTACAGTTTTCTGTTTGTTTTGTTATCTTAGATAGGTCAAACTGATGCACCCAACCGAGCTTGTCGCATTTAACCGGCCACCTAGGCACGTGTCCATGCGTGCAAACGTGAATAAATGTTGACACGGGGAAGTTCCAGGTAGACTCGTAAAATAAGACGATTAAGATCATGCCATGCTGTTTCATGACACGCCACAAATATTGCAACCACCGCCGCCCCGAGGTAACACGTGCCAGCAGAGATTGCAAAGGCTGCGGTGGTCTACAGCTAGTTGTGGATGCTAACAATTCAGCGTGCATACGCCAAACTTCCACTCGTCGTCGCCATTGAGGCCTTATGGCGCACCAAGCCCCGGCGCTGGAGGGCGTTGCCCGCCGCCGATGTCAGGAAGGAAGCACACCGCGAGCCATCGGTGCCCATGCTCATGCTTCCCCGGACGCGCCGCTTAACCGCTACACCGGCCGCACCCGTCTAAAAATCTTCATTAATGTATACCATGCAGGACACCCCCCTCCCCCCCCTGGCCAGCCGCGGATCTCCAGCGCCGTCCCTCGCCATTCAGCTGGGTATCTGCGGCCGCTGACGTCCACGGCAAACGAGCCTTTCTTGAGCCGCGCTGGGCGCTGGTGTTAGTAGCGTTGGTGCCTATTATGCTGCTGAGATTACCCTTGTATGAGACACAAACTGGAACCGAATGCCGAGCAATATCAAAAGCCGCGATCCACCCATCCTTGGTTTGCTTGAAGTTGGTGCAAAAAAGCGGCATAGTACAAAAAAGAAGAAGAGATGCCCAAATCAGCGCACAAAAACTGTTCTTGTGTCTTTCATTTTATCATGTGATGCAGAACAAATCTAGGTTATCTAGTCAATACCGTAGTGCGCGAAATCTAGTAGCAGTAGTGTCTAGTCAATAACGTAGTGTACGAAATCGCATGCAGGCTTTGAGAAACAAAAGGCTTAGTCGAGTTTTTAAGCAGGTATCAGCGAGATGGTGAGGAGAGTGTGAGCTTACACGCGTTTGGAGATGTGTTTGGATGAAAGAGGAAAAGCTTGCGATGCGTGGCTGGCTTGAGGATGAAAGCTCGTTGTTAATTTTGGATTGTATAATATTCTAAAGGCTCATTGGCACGCAGTTCATCACATTTGTTCTTACTACCATGTTTACAACCATTCCAAACAACTTCCGCATCCTGAAAAGTAAGACAAAGCTGAAAATCTTACCTCGGTCGTTCTTGCAGCAGAGCTAGGAAAACAGCCGTCTTACCTCCGCCGTTCTTGTAGCAGAGGTAGGGGAAGCGCCAAACGTTGCCCAGGCCGACGCAGAAGCCCATCACAGAGAGCACGAACTCGGCGTTGTTCGCCCACGTCTCGCGCTGCCGGTATTCAGGCCCGCCAGCCTCTTCTTGCGGTGCGGATTTTTGGGGCGATGCCTGAGTCCCCCAGAAGGGCGGTGACGTCACTGGATCACGGTCCAGCATGGCGGCGGCTCTGTTCCCAGCTCTGGGGAAGGGGCGAGGGGTCACGCGGTAGCCGGACAGCGACTCAGAAGGCTGCGCCGAAGGCCATGGTGGTGCTGGTGGTGGTGTTAGTGGTGGTGCTGGTGGTGGTGTTAGTGGTGGTGCTGGTGGGGTTCTGGTCAGCTCCTGTTCGGCGTGTGACTCCAGACCATGCAGTTCCTCCACACGGCCGTGGAAGGTGCATTTGTAAACGTCTGTAAGCAAATCGTACGCTGGCAGCTCTACTCGTAACACATGCCTGCGGACGATATCACGTCACTGGTGCGCGCGGCGAGTGACACAACAGGAGCATTACCTCATCACATGGAAATAGAGTGATATGATTTGATAGGCAAGTGTTTGCTCTGCGCTTTTAAGCGAATTCCATAACTTCCCACTCAGCATTATCCTGATGGCCTCGAGTGCCTGTGATATACGACAAAACACATGTGCGACAAGAAATGATTCCGGAGATGGAACTATTGGTCGGCTTTTGAGCCACGCTTTAGCTAAGCCCAAACGCTTCATAATCGCATCGCAAACGAAATGCGAAACCGACCGTGGCGATCACTCTAATGCTGGGCTACCAGGTGACGTAGCCAAGGTCTCGCACAGGATGGGGCCATACCGGGCAATATGGACCCTTTGCAGCAAATGAGGCCCTCTTTGCCGGTATGGCTGGCCTTTAGTGGGATCTGGAGCACATCACTAGGCACAAGCCTCGATAGCTGAGCTGGTCAGAGGGCCTGCCTTCCGATCCACCCACTCGTGGCGGGGTGGGTCCGAGTCATTTATGTTACAGATATAGTTTGTGGCCGGTGGCAGCAGCCGCACTTAAGGTCATGTGACGTCAGAGAGCAGGGCGAGCCATGCCAAGCATTACGGCAAGATAGACCTTCGCCATCAAATTCTGCCGTTGACCTGAGCTTGCACGATCGGACTGCAGGGGTCAGGGGTCAGGGCTCGGTCGGAGTCAGGGTTACTCCGGATAAAGTCTCAAAAACAAGAGCCCATTGTTGTAGTTTTACAAAGGGATTGCCATTGGTCAATCCTTTAGATTTCAGGTAAGATTTGGTTTTGCTGCCTCTGGGACCATTTGTATTTTTTACGGGGCTACGGACATCTGAAACATACAAAAATAACGAACAATGCATTTACGGAAATCCTCGGTCTTAGTCAGTCCGCCCGCATTCCAGGGGGCATGTTACCAAAAACTCCTACTTGTTTGTTGTTTTTGTTGTTATTTTCGCTTTCGGTAGAAAGTCAGTCAGCGATACGAATGCAATGAATAATTGACACCAACCAACCATACTTAGAAGAGCCGTCGCAAAATGACAAGACCAAACTGAAACTGTACCTGCGGGCAACCTGTAGCTTGCTTCAGCGCAGTCTCAATTTGTGAGGCACTTCCAGAAGTGCTAAGGACGTCTTAAGCTATCAAAGAGCACTAGAACCTTCGGTCCCAGAGGTTCCGCCATCACCAGGGAACGTGGTGGCTCCACAACCTCCCTGTTGGCCACGCCAGTGGGATTGTGTTAAAGATGTACTCCCGTCATTTTCGTTTCAGTACAAAAGTGACGCGGCAGCAGTTGCACATAACCCCAACAGTCGCACATATCCCCAGCAGTCGCACATAACAAGATGCTCTTTGCAGGCACGTGACGCTGTGGCTTAACGCCGTCCGATATTCACCATACCGCAGCGCCCACCTGAGTGTAATGACAGCGCTCTTCCAGCGCGTGCTACGAAGTGGGGCCAAAAACCGGCCCCGCACTGTATCAGTCATCAAACCACACGGAATAATACAACATAGACAAAAAAAGCGTGGAACAAGTCACCAATAGCACCTCGAGACGAAAAGTGCCGAATGGATTTAACGCTTTTGGAATACCAAACATTTGGAAGGTGTAATTTGCAAATTGGGCAAACGGGAGCAAAAATATATGAAATGTTATGGGCAGCCAATATCACTCTGCCGTTTCGCAAATTGGTATAAACCGCATTTTGTTGAACTCTGTTTCTTTTCATAACAACTTGATTCTGGAACATAAAATGTCGTTGGTAGAGCACGCTAGAAAATACTTATTTTCCAAACATGAGATGAAACCCTCATCGTATACACCGCCGCTCATTAAGCGATGGGATTCGGTTGCTGTCCACTCACGATTTAGAGGAGATGGACGATCCATTGCCATTCATCCTCCGACTAAGCTACTGTCGTCGAGCTTAGTGATCATCAAGCTTACCTGACAGCAATGTATATTGTGGAAATTGGGGATTTCATGAAAGTCTGCGAAATACATTGTTTATCCATGGTCATTTGTTTCTGTTCCTTCGATTTGAATGAGGGAATGCAGCGACGTGATCAACGACTGGATTTCTTGGTTGTAGGTTGAAGTTAATTGATATTTCAAAGAAAAAAAAAGAATCCACACCTTCATTTTTTGGTAATTTTAGACGGGCAGCTGGCTCATTCTTGGACTTTGGATTGTACTGTGGACACGAACGTCCAGAAAACAGCACCTCTGGTCGGGACGCATGGTTGTAAAATATAGCGGAGACCTTAACTACATCCCGGAAGCCCAGCCGGGGCGCCGCTCCTGGGCCGCCACTGCCGTGTCGAACACGCCCTGCGTCCCACCTGTGACGATTGGCCGAGAGGGCGCGGTCGGCGACGGGCGGGTGCTGCCGCGCCTCGGCTGCCGCACGTGTCACGGACGGGCGCCTGGCCTGGCCTGGTGAGGGCTGTCTCCGCTGACCGGGCCGCTCCGGCGCCTCGCTCACCGCCACGTCACGCGGGATCGTCACCAGCGGGAAGCGGCCGCTGGGTGCGCCGGCTTCCCATTGGACCGGCCCTCCCAGCCCTCTCATTGCCCGGAGTGGTGAGGGGGGGGGGGGGGGCAGGAAGAGGCTGATGATGGAACCCAGAGCCCTGTCATAAGCAGCGGGGAGCGCCATGCCAGGGCCGGAAACAAGAGGCGTTTTCTTGGGTAGCGAGGGAGGGAGGCGTGGGTGGCTTGTAACCCGCCTTCCCTCGAGCTGTCCGCCTAATGAGGCGGCGGCAACCAGTCGGCCCGAGGGACCACTTCTGAGAGAGCTCCGGCACTCTGAGAAGTCCCAGAGCGCGAGGGCTCGCGCGGGGTGCACTGTTTCAGCCGAAGCTAAAGCTAAAGCGTGTGTCACCGTGACATCGCTGGCAGTTTCAGACCTACGTCAGTTTTGCCTATGCCGTCCAGAATGCGTAGAAAGGTCGGGTACATGCAGCTTTTGTCCCACCTCGCTGCCCATGATCTTTGAGTTCGATGGCAGTACGCTCACAGACCTCACCACTCAACACAGGTCGCCCTAATGGATTCCGTTGGGTCAGCGGTATGTCGCATCGGCGTTTGGTGCGCTGTCGCCACCACCTCCATTGATCTAAGCCATGCATTTGGTAGGGTTGACCATGGCGGCCTTCTGACAAAGCTGCAGTGGTACAGCATCGATCCGAAGTGGCTTGAGAGCTACCTCGCTGGTCGGCGGCAGGTGGTCAGAGGCGGCTCCTCGGTCGGCCCTATCCTCTTCAGCATCTTCACGAACGACCTAACGTCTTACCTCCCTCAAGGACGTCTAGAGTCCTATGCCGACAATACCCGACTGTTGGACTCCGCTCACCCATGCTAACTATCCGTTTTGAAATCCCGACAGTGACATCGCGGGACACAAATTAAGACCTTTGCCGCTGGTGAAGATGCTGGGGGTTACTGCTGAAAGCACCCTTTCCTGGGAGATGCACATATTCCATGTCGTCAAAAGTGCAACGCCATCCTTCTCTATTTGCCTAAAATTCGTCACCACCTTACGCCCGAAGTTCACAAACTTCTCATCCAGTCTCACATTTTCCTTCATCTGTACTGCCTCTCGATCTAGGGTGGGGCTGTTGCGTGTCACGTTGCAGCGCAAGGGGTGATAAACTTCAGGGTCAGGATCGTCACCGATGCTCGTCGGCGAAGTACAATGGCGGTGGCTGTTCAAGCGCTGGGCTGGTGCGGTGTTAATGACCTTGTCACCCACCGTAGCAGCCTGGCCGCATTCATGGTCTTCCATGAGGTGGCGATCTGGTCCCCTGTTGACCCTGCGTACCGCTGTATGCCAGCGTGCCACCCGAGCGGTGGCAGCGAGCGCCCTTGATCTGCCAGCTCCTCGCCTGTCGGTGGCACGGAGGGCTTTTTTGTATTGTTCGGTCTCATGCTGAAGCCGCCTGCCGCCGAGCATCACCGCCTCTCGCATCGGCAGTGACCGAGCAGTGACCGATTATCACCGCATCTCGCATCGGCAGTGACCGAGCAGTGACCGAGCACCACCGCATCTCGCATTGGCAGTGACCGAGCAGTGACCGAGCATGACGCAGTGACCGAGCATCACCGCCTCCCGCATCGACAGTGACCGAATAGTGACCGAGCATGACCCAGTGACCAAGCATCACCGCCTCCCGCATCGACAGTGACTGAGCAGTGACCGAACATGACGCAGTGACCGAGCATCACCGCCTCCCGCATCGACAGTGACCGAACAGTGACCGAGCATGACACAGTGACCGAGCATGACCCAGTGACCGAGCATCACCGCCTCCCGCATCGGAAGTGAGTTTCTCACCAGGCCAGAGGACTTAGACGGCTCCGATACGCCTTCACTGCTTTCTCGCCGTTGTGTAACATGTGTTGACGATTTAAAATTTCATAACTGGTTTTGTTTCTAGAGCAGTAGCAGCAGCCTTCTTCCTCGGAGAAAAACCAGGCGAGTGGAGAAATAGATGGGTTGATATTTCGGCAGCATGCCTTCATCGAAACAATAGCAGAAGTGTCATTCTCCTGCTTTGTTTAGATAAAGGCGTGTTGCCGAAATATGAAACCAGTTATGTCTCCACTCGCCTGGTTTTTCTCCAGGGAATATGGCTATTACTACTGTCTTATCTATGTGAATAATGTTCCTCGCTAATGCACTGGACAACTTACGTGATTT